GTCAGCTTTCCTGCTCCTCTGATGCTGCCTGGCCTGCTGTGTTCATCCAGCTCTACACCTTGTTATCATAGGATTAAGGATGCTCAGTTTGGTGGAATGGTGGAACCAATGTTCCACATGCATCAGTTGTTCACTCAAGAATTAGAGTAAAATGTCTAAATTTGCAGATGGCATTGAGTTGTAAATAGTAAATTCTGATGAAGAATATGTCAAATTACAGGAAGAGATTAATAAACATGTTGACAAATTACTTCCAATATACGTAAGGATGAGATAATGCATTTTAGTGAGACAAATAAATAGGCCACAAACCACTTGAATATTAAAACCTGAATATGTCAGAGGATCCAAGAGAGATAGGGTGTGGATGTACAAATCATTAAAAGTGGTGATGCATATTTATAAAGCTTTTGAAGACTAAGCTCAATAGAGTGATTTATTTCTAGAAGGATAGAATTGAAAAATAGTGGAGTTATGTTCAGCTTGTATTGAACTTTGTTTGGACTACACTTAGAGCACTGTGAACAGTGCTGCTCTCCATTTTATTAAAAGGATACAGAGGAGCCGGAGAAAATGCACAGAAGATTCAGAATGATGATACCTTATTATGAAAGGATGAATAGACATGACAATTCTTTCTCTAAAAAGGCTGAACAGTGACCTAATAGAGGTTGTAATGACAATGATAAAGTTTGATAGGGTAAATACGGAGAAAATATGACTTGTGAGGAAAACCAAAAAGACAGGTCATAAAGATTATAAGCAAAATGCTGTAGAAATTGGAGCAAACTGTTGGAAGTACTCAACATCTCAGGCAATAGCTGTAGAAAGAGAAACTGGTAGGTTTTCAGGTCTATAACTTTTCATTGGAACTGGAAAACATTAGAGATGTAACAAATATTTTTAAAATGTACAGGCATGGGAAGGGAGAGGCTGGAAGTGAAAGATTTGTGACATCATGATATGAGGAATAGAAATGAGCCATAATTTTTAAAAATTCATTAATGGGATGAGGGTACCGCTGGCTAGGCAGCATTTATTGCCCATCCCAAATAGCCCAGAGGGCAGTTAAAAGTCAACCACATTTTTGTGGGTCTGGAGTCACACGAAGGCCAGACCAGGTGAGGATGGCAGTTTCCTTCCCTAAAGGACATTAGTGAACCAGATGGGTTTTTCCGACAATTGACAATGGATTCATAGTCATCATTAGATTCTTAATTCCAGATTTTTTAAATTGAATTTAAATCCACCATTTGCCATGGCAGGATTCAAACCCAGGTCCCCAGAATGTTATCTGGGTCTCTGGATTAACAGCCTAATGATAATTCCAATAGGCCGTTGCCTCCCCTTGTTGAAGTTGATTTTGAGTTTGGAAGACTGTAAAGTACCTAAAATGTTTCTTGAACTTCTGTTGAGCTTAATTAAGATAGTATAGGGACCAGAGTTGAAGTGGGACAGAAAAATTGAATGACTAGGATCTCAGTGTCACACATGGCTGCTGAACAGAGGTGTTCAGCAACATGATCACCTAACCTGGGTTTATTCTTCCCAGTGTACAGCCGACTGCAGCACGAGTAGTGAATGTAGTATACTAATTTGAAAGAAGCACAAACAATTTCTCCACATATGTGTAAAATAATGCAGCAGCTGTACAGTTTTGCCATGTAGCAACTCAGTACAGAATTACTATAGTCAAGAATGACGACAAACACTGTTCACGTCAGGCATGGACTTGATGGGCCAAATAACTCCTTTTGTGCTCAGATGATTCTATGGCCCAGATTTTTACCTCAGCAAGGAAATTCAAGAGTCAGGTCTTGTGTATTGTGTTAGGTGTCAGATGTGGTGTTTTCAGAGGCTGAATAGCCCACATTTTTTATATTCCAACAAAACCACACCCCTTTAAACACTACCTGTAGTTTCATCCCTTTGTCGCAGTGAGAATCAGTCCACTCTATAATACAATCAGACAGGCACTGTATTATGCAGTTGAAAGGTTTCCAAGAACTTTGGATAGATGTCTTCCAAGGCAGAATTTGGAGATTTTGTTTACCAGCAATGGCATTTCATGATTGCACAAAAGAGATGGTTCTCAATATTTTACTGCAGATTTGTATAACTCTGCTCCTTTGCTGCATAACAGTAGTGCAATGTGCTATTTGACATTTTTATTACAGAGGAGTGCATGTTCTGCAGTGGCGAGAATTACCGTGGTAAAATTTCCCAAACAGAGGATGGTGTTACATGTCAGCATTGGAATTCACAAACACCGCACCTTCATGGATATACCCCAACCACGTAAGTAAGAGAATGAAGTAATAATCCACTATCTGCAATTCACCCTCTTGTTTTTGATTACCTGGTATTGTGATTTGGAGTAAAACCCCTTACCTCAGTTTGAACAAAGCACGTAGATATTTGTTGAATATGAAACCTGGGCCTTATAATTAATTAAACTTTAATCATTTGTGTTTTGATCCCATTATAGACTGCTAATATTTGAAGGGAAATCTGGATACCTAATTTTAATTCATGGAACCTCATCATGAGATTCCACATTTATAAATAAAAAACAAATTTATTGTATATAAAACTCTTAATCAAATCAACGACAATAAACTTGATGCTTTAAAATCAGTTCTACTTTCTAATTCCACTTTACAAGATCTTTAAGGTTTGTTCACTTTTCCTGGACCCACACAAAAGTATATCACCATTCTGCATAAATCACTGATCTCTTCAGTTGTTTAGATATTCCAGAAAGTATAAGATTTCATCAGTTTTTAAAAAAAATAGTTTTTGGCTAAGTTTTTTCTTAACAAACCACATGACTTTAGATTCCATGGTTTCAGCATGGGCAGCCCCATGATCCTGCGCACTGGTTTAAAATATTAGCAAACACCTTTGGCTTTCAATAGTCAGCCACTATTGTTGCAAACAACAACCAAGCTTATTATTTCTAGAATCCCCTCTATGAAAAGATTAACTGAATTATTGAGAGGCTTACTGTAGGTTTCTCCCTCTAGTTTCCAGCTCAACAAATCTCCCAGTTATTGTTCTCCTTTCCAATTTTGTCTCATAAGGAATACCATTAGATCTTACATTTCCTATACTTCAGCAGTGGATCTAGCTTTATGTCTCAACTTTCAAGGACAGGGTTCCATGTGGTAGATTAGTTGGTGAGGTTAGCCCATCATGTAGAATCCAGGGGGAAGTAGCCAATCAGATACAAAATTGGCTTGAAGGTAGAAGACAGCGGGTGGTGGTGGAGGGCTGTTTTTCTGACTGGAGGCATGTGACCAGCTGTGTACCACAAGGATCGGTATTGCATCCATGGCTTTTCATCATTTATATAAATGATTTGGATATGAAACTAGGAGGTATGGTTAGTAAGATTGCCAATGACACCAAAATTGGTGGCATAGAGGACAGTGAGGAAGGTTTTTTAGATCACAAAGGGATCTTGATCAGATGGGCCAATGGCTGAGGAGTGGCAGATGGAGTTTAATTTAGATAAATGCAAAGTGTTGCATTTTGGTAAGGCAAATCAGGACAGGACTTATACAGTTAATGGTAGAGCCCTGGAGAGTGTTGCTGAACAAAGAGAACTTGGGGTGCAGGTGCATAGTTCCTTGAAAGTGGAGTTGCAGGTAGACAGGGTGGTGAAGAAAACATTTGGTACAATTGCCTTCATTAGTCAGTACATTGAGTGTAGGAGTGGGAGACCATGTTGCAGCTATACAGGACATTGGTTAGGCCACTTGTGGAATACTGCATTCAGTCTGGTCTTCTTGCTACAGGAAAAGTGTTGTTAAACTTGAAAGGGCTCAGAAAAGGTTAACAAGGATGTTGCCAAGATTGGAGGGTTTGAGCTACAGGAAGAGATTGAATAGACTGGGGCTATTTTCGCTGGAGCATCAGAGGCTGAGGGGTAACATTATAGAGGTTTATAAAATCATGAGGGGCATGGATAGGGTGAGTAGGCAAGGTCTTTATCCCAAGTTAGAAGAGTCCAAAACCAGAGGGCATAGGTTTAAGGTGGGAGGGGAAAGATTTAAAAGAGACCTGAGGGGCAATCTTTTCACGCAGAGGGTAGTGCATGTATGGAATGAGCTGCCAGAGGAAGTGGTGGATACAATTACAACATTTAAAAGGCATTTGGATGAGTACATGAATAGGAAGGGTTTAGAGGGATATGGGCCAAATGCTGGCAAATGGGACTAGATCAGTTTAGGATATCTGGCCAGCATGGATGAGTTGGACCAAAGAGTTTGTTTTCATGCTATATAACTGTATGGCACTATAACCTACAAGCTACATAAGACTATATTATAAACAAAATAGCAGGATTCCACTGAGTCCCTCTAGTCCCACTACATCATTGGTCACAACTTAAATTTAAATGTTTATCCATGTTATCAATATTACCAATTATACATTTTTCAATATTAGGTTTAGGATGTTTTAATGACAATCTGTAGCTCAGGTTGCGGTTGGAGTTGTTGGTTGATTCGCTGAGCTGACTGGTTTTCATGCAAACCATGAAACCATGAAAACCAGTCAGCTCAGCAAACCAACCAATAACTCCATAGGTTTAGAATTTTAAAATAATCCATCAATCGGGCTATCTGTAATAAACAACGAGATTTTTGATTGACTGTGTAAAGAAGATCCATTCGTCAAAGAAATAAAGTTTGAAATATGTTTGAAAATTTGAAATATGGATATACATACACAAGAAAACTTATTTCTTCTGCTGAGATTCACTTAAAAAAACACTTGGCCAGCAATTGATCATTCTGAAGGCAAAAGATTAAGGAGTGGAATATTCAGATACGTCTGTCTGGCATTCTGGCACACGTGGAAGGGCTACTAACATGTAAAGTTGTCTCTGGGATCTACGATTATGTAGTTGTTCAGAAAATATTATGACAAACTCTCTCAAATGTTTTTCCCAAAAGCACTTTGATCAGTGTTCCAGGTATCATGCCAGACACATAAGAGCTTTTCTCAGAAATAACAGACTTTGAGCTGGGAAGCTTCTGTTGTTCAGCATGCTGGATGTCAACTCCCACAGCATGAAAAACTTTATTTAAACATTAACTAACTCTGTGATAGTCATAAAACCCACAAAGGGACTTCCAGCAAACAAGTCCAGAAATTAACTGAAACCATGTGATTTCCACGATATGCCTTGTTAAAAAAATGTTCCAATGTGTAAAGTGACCTTTAAAAACAAACAAAAACAGAAGCTGCTGGAAAAGCTCAGCAGTTCTGGCAGCATCTGTGAAGAGAAATCAGAGTTAACATTTTGGGTCCGGTGACTCTTCCTCAGAACACAATTTCCCACAATCCTTCAAAACTGAAGTCCTCATAAAAATTTCAAGTATGAAGCTGTCTTAACAACCCAAAACTAAGTCTTGTAATTGCTTTTCCAAAAATTAATAAGCTCTGCCTGTTGACTGTGCCCTAAGTCAATTCAAAAAACAGGTTCAAATCTCACCACACTAATTGATGAGATTTAAAGTTAATTAATAAATCAGGAATAAAAATCTAGTCTCAGTAAGGGGACCATGAAACTATCATTGACTGTCATTTAAAAAAATAGGCAGCTAGTTCACAAATTCCCTTTTAGAGAAGCAAAGTTGCTGTTTTTTTTTACCTCGTCTGGCCTAAAGGTGATTCTGGACACACAATAACTTTTAACTGGCTTCTGAAGTGGCCTAGCAGTTCAATGCAATAATAAGGAATAGGCAACAAATGTTGACCTTGTCAGTGAAGTCCACATTCCGTATAAAGACCATATTGTTAAAAAAAAGGGTCTAGGCCCGAAACGTCAGCTTTCCTGCTCCTCTGATGCTGCGTGGCCTGCTGTGTTCATCCACCTCTACACCTTGTTATCTCAGATTCTCCAGCATCTGCAGTTCCTACTATCTCTGCTTAATAAAAGATTTGCCAGAGTTGACCTGGATATCAGAGTGCAAGCAAAGAGTGAAGATGACAGCAGGAATGAGAGAGAGGTGTAATGATCCCAGATTTTTTCTGCATCTGTATCGCCTACAACTCAAAATGGGACCACAGTAAAAGTTGAGGGTGGGTTTGTTGAGGGGATGGTGGGAGGTGATTTCCTTGACTGTTCACTGACTCAACTCAAACCAGCTCCATTCCCAATAACTGCATAAATCTAATTTATTATAGTTTACTTTTAAAGAGTTTTCATCACATTTACATTTTAAGACTGTAAATTTAAAAAAAAGTAAATTTGTGACAATTTGCAATCAACATGCAGGAACTGCTAACCAAAAAATTCAAGTAGAAAAGCAAATTTCACTTTAAATAGTCGATGTAACAAAATATTAATTATACATGACCACAAGCACTTGCATCATGCCACCAGAAATATGGCACTATGTATAATCTACGGTCTTTCCAAATTGACTGTCAATATGTAGGATCTGTCACTTTCTCACTCGATCAGTTCAGCCTCAATTCACATTCACCAGCAGCTGCATTCCATCCAAGATCCATGAATACAGATATCACCAACAAGGCTCACATCGATGAACTCACTTCCACTAACGTTACATCAGACCTGACAGCATGGCTTTCAGAATTCCTTTTCAACTGACCAAACAACAATTCTCAATTTGCAATCTGGTCCTGTGATGCAAAGTCTCAGTTCATTTGCATATCTAAGGTATTCACAACATTTTTAGGATTCAGTTGCTTTTAGCTTGGATTGATTACTCTATCCTGCTACAGCTCTTTTTTGAAACTGCATCTATGTAGAGTCATGGTGTCATACAGCACAGAAACAGGCCCTTCGGTCCAACTCGTTCATGCCGACTAAGTTTCCTAAACTGAAGTAGTCCCATTTGCCTGTATTTGGTCCCTATCCCTCTAAACCTTGCCTATTCATGTACCTGTCCAAATGTCTTTTAAATGTTGCAATTGTACTGGCCTCTACCATTTCATCTGGCAGCTTATTCCTCTGTGATAATCTCCTCCTTCTTACATCTCTACTTTGTGCTTGCCAGCCAAATGAAATCTGGTCTTACCTTCCTTCTGTTGGCACTGCTTCTAGGTTATGGATAGATCAGACTTTTTATTATTCCAAGAAAAATGAAATGGAGCCCCTTAGAATTGATCCAAGCACTTAGAAATCCTTTTTAAAATGTTATTAAAAAAATTTGAGATTCCACAGACATTTTAAAGATTTTTTTTCCTCTCTGCACTGCTTCAGAGTTAAAGCTCATCACAATATCCATTCTTGGAAATCAGGAATACTTATTCAATTAATTCTTAATGGTCAGAAATCCTATTGTGTGAGAACTTTGCTCAAAGTATAGCTGCAGTTGCTAACTAGTCGATCCTGTGTATAATAAATAATGCTGGACATTATTTTACAATGTCTTTGTTAATACTGATGCAAGACTATGCTCTAAAATTCTTATTGATGCATTTAAATACCTCCATCTCTGTTTTTACATTACCTCATGCAGCCTTACAACTTCCAACCATTTCTGGCCCTTGCACAAATCAGATTTTAACATTTCCTTGGCAGCCATACGTTCAACCACTTAGCTCTGGAATTCCCATTCCACCTCTATCCTTTCTGATCTTCCTAAGACATTCTGTAAAACTTACCACTCTGACCAGACATTTGGTCACATGTCCTTATAATGCCTGTCATTGTGACATGACATCAATTCTTTTCTGATAATGGTCCTGTGAACATTTTGGGACATTTTGCTGTGTAAAAGGCCTTGTATAAATTCCAAGTTGTAGTTATTCCTGTGCAGTATTTTAAAATTGATGCATTTCTGTAAACAGCAATTTTCTGAGCACACTAAATAAACCTCAAAGACACATCACTATTCAATAACAAGTCTTCCTCACTGGAAGTAAAAGTAAGGACCTTCAGTTTTCCAGATAAATATCTCAAGGAGAACTACTGTCGGAATCCTGATGGAGAACCCAGGCCGTGGTGTTTTACAACTGACACCCAAAAGCGATGGGCGTTCTGCAACGTTCCACGTTGTGGTAAGTTTCTCAGTTTCTTCACGTGTCCTTAAGGATCTGGCTTCAAAGGTAAGTTAGCATACTGCTGTTTCACTTTTAGGGCCTGGTTATTTGATCTGAACCAGTCTAATGGGTGAAAGTTTCCTACTATTGACTTCTACTGTTCTACATTTACTGTAACATTGAAGGAAGTGCTAGATTAGTGAAGGCGCTCTTTGTCAGATGAGATGTCAAACCTTGGCCCTCTCAGGTGAACATAAAAGATTCTATGGTAGTACTTTAAAGAGTCCACAATAGTTCAAGGCGAGTACTCTGCACCAAAAAGACTATGGGCACATCACGTGGTTAAAACTTCCAGTTTTCCAAACTGAATTGCTTCTCTTCTGTTCTGAAACCATGTGCTTGTAAATAACAAAGCCAATGATTCCTCTTTGTTTTTCCTTCAGACACTACCTGATCTTCAATTCCATTAATTTTCTTTTTTGTTACTACTGATATGATACCCTCAAAGAAATGATAATCAAGTGCCTGATACACTTTTTTTAGTGTGATGCATTGACAATCAAATCAGGCCAATGAAGATTTCTAAATTGTGTCGTGTAAAATCCTGCTTATCCTACTTGATGCCATCACTGTAGCTGAGTGCCTCAAGACTTCCTTGAAATAAACCCAGGTTCAGATTAACATTAGGAAAAGTGAAATGATCGCTAAGACTTCGAAGTCAACAATGGGTATTATCTTTTCACTGCTGAGGATAAAATCTGGGAAATTAATATATAAAAGGAATTTTCTGTGGAATTTCCCAGTTTTGTTTGTCCAAGTTGTATTACTCACCATTTTTGCACTAACACCCTATCATTTGTTACACAGTTAGGGAAAATTAGATATGAGAAAGATAGAAATCAAAGTAGAGAATGAAAGAAAGAACCATTGTACCTTGCCTTTCTTGTCCTACAAGTGTCCCAAAGCACTGCAGAGGTAATGAACTGCACTTTTGGTTGAGACACTATTTACACAGGCAAAAATATCAGATATTTTGCATGCAGCAAGACTATAAAAGATCACAGTGAGGTGAATGTGCAGTTAATCTGTTTTGCTGGTGGTGTTTGAAAAACTAACAGAGTAGTGAGGTTTACCATTATTTCTGAAATAAAAGGCACACCTAACAGTGCAACACTGTCACTACTGCACTTTGTATCAGCCTGGACACAATATAACCACATCGAGGATCCTTTATCTGCCTGACTTTCAATCACATCTTCCTATTTTCGGTTGTCCACCAGTTGACCATGAATTTCTGTTTAACCCTATGATTTCCTCCTGGAACAAAGTGTCCAAATGACTCCCCACTGCAACGCTCCCCTCTACCTTTCACCAATTATCACCCCAAATGAGCCACAATATCTGCAGTTCACACATCTGAACTGCAGCTCTCAGCTATGGACACTTAGTGTAGATATGGTTGTAAGGTACAACAATGCTTCTCACAGTCTTTCAGATGTTGCAATTACATCACTCCATCTGCCTTACCATTTCAATCAAAATTGACTCATTTATTTAATTAGTTAATTAATTTTAGTTGAAATGGTTATTTTAGTTTTAGATATTTTCTAATCAACCTATTCAGCAATGTTACTACACACCTTTTGAGCACCTGAGATTTGAACCCGGACTCTGGGATACTACCACAGCACCACCAGAGCCTCTTAATTTTAGTTTTATTAATTAATTGCTTTATCTAGTTTAAGTTACAAATTTAGTAATTTAAGAAATGCAGTAGCAAGCTAGTTTCCTAGCTTAGAGATAAATAAAAAACATACATCAGCTCTAATGCAGGCAGGACAAAACATTCATAGAGTCATAGAACTGTACAGCATAGAAACAGACTCTTTGAATCGTAGAACCCCCACAGTGTGGAAACAGGCCCTTCAGCCTAACAAGTCCACACCAACCCTCTAAAGAGTCCCCCACCTCCTCCCTGTAACCCCACATTTCCTTATGGCTAACACACTTAATCTACACATTCTTGAACACTATGGGCAATTTAACATGTCCAATCCACCTAGCCTGCACATCTTTGGACTGTGGAGGGAACCAGAGCACCCGGCAGAAACCCACACAGACACAGGGAGAATGTGCAAACTCCACACAGACAGTCACCCAAGGGTGGAATCAAACCGTGTCCCTGGCGCTGTGAAGCAGCAGTGCTAACCACTGAGCCACCGTGTTTGGTCCAACTCATCCATGCCAACCAGCTATCCTAAATTAATCTAATACCATTTGCCAGTATTTGGCCCATATATCTCTAAACCCTTCCTATTCACGTCCCAATCCATTTGCCTTTTAAATGTTGTAATTGTACCAGCCTCCACCACTTCCTCTGGCAGCTTATTCCATATACACAACACCCTCTGCATGAAAAAGTTGCCCTTTAGGTCTCTTCTAAATCGCTCCCTCTCACCTTAAACCTATGCATTCTGGTTTTAGATTCCCCTGCCCTGGGAAAAAGGCCTTGACTATCCATGCCTGTCATGATTTTATGAACTTCTATAAGGTCACCCCTCAACCTACGATGCTGCAGGGAAAATAGCCCCAGCCTATTCAGCTTCTCCCTCGAACCCTCCAACCCTGGCAATATCCTTGTAAATCTTTTCTGAACACTTTCAAGTTTCACAACATCCTTCCTATAGCAGGGTGGCCAGAATTTAATGCAGTATTCTTAACGTCCTGTGCAGCTACAACATGACCTCCCAACTCTTAAACTCAATGCACTGACCAATAAAGGCAAGCATTCCAAATGCCTTCTTCACTGTCTTGTATACCTGTTATATACCTTGTTATATACAAATTATCTTCAAATTGAGTGACTTGCTAGGGTTATTTCAGAGGGCAGTTAAGAGTCAACCTCATTGCTATGGGTTGGAGTCACATGTAGACCAGACCAGACCAGGATAGCAGATTTCCTTCATTAAAGGTCATTAGTGAATTGGGTTGGTTTTTGTAACTGTTGACAATGGTTACATTGTCATCAATACAAATGAACTGCACAATACCTGGACATTGAGCTTCTTAAGTGTTAATATAGTTGTGCTCATTTTGAGCAGCAGGAGGTTTTGCATTATACACATGACCTGTGTGCCTTGTGGATCTGGGAAAGGCTTTAGTTGGTGAGGTAAGTGACCTATTACGGATTATCCTTCCTTGGATCTACTATTGTAAGCATGATGTTGTTAAGATGCTTGTTGGTGGTGACCTTGCCTCTCCATTCTCAAGATCTTGATGATAGAGAAATCAACAATGCTGATGCCACGCAGGTCATAGTGAGATAGCTGAGATTTCTCTTGTTTCAGCTGCTCATTACTTAGCACTTCTATGGCACAAATATCTTCTTGTCAGCTGAAGTCCAGCACGTAAGCCAATGTGCACTGTGTCATTACCAGAGGAGTTGTGTATGGAGTGAACATTGAGAAACCATCAGCAAACTACCCCAGTCCTGAACTTAGAATGGAGGATATGTCATTGCTGCAATTAGCTAGGTTGAGTCCAGTTCCTGAGGGCCCTCCTGTAGTAATATCCTGGGGCTGTGACACTCTGACTGTGACGATCAGAAACATTTTATTTTGTGTCAGGTATGACTCTCATCCTTAAATGGCATATGGAAGAATCATAGAATCCCAACAGTATGGAAAGAGGCCCATCAAGTCTGCAGCAACCCTCCAAAGAGATTTTACAAGTTATAACCCAGTACAACTCAGTTCTGTTCCCACTCTACTTCAGAAAACTGGAAACAAGTTTATCCATGGTACTTCCATGTTGCACAAACACAAACACAACTACGCAACCCCTTCAGTATAAATATTACAATTGTTTTCCTCTATCTGTTGAAGGCGCAGACCCTCCTGATATTGAAGTGGACACAGAGTGTTACACAGGCACAGGCCAGAGGTATCGTGGAGCCATGACAACCACTATTTCTGGTAAAATCTGTCAAAGATGGGATGTTCAGGTTCCGCACATGCACTCAAGAACTCCTGAGAACTATCCCTGCAAGTAAGTAGATGTTAGTAGCCATCGCTTAATGTACTTTTCACCATTATCCCTGTTGAGGGGACTAGACTCAAATCACTTGCGTGGGTCATCTGAGTGGGGTTGTTGATTTGTTCCAAGTATGGAACCATGGCAATTTCAAAAAGTCTCAGACCCTCCATACTTCTATGTATGCTGATCATGAGATGGAACTAGTCCCAAACTGAAAGCAATGTAATATTTCTTTTTGATGAACAACAAAATTGATTTTTTTTTAAGAGGACTAGAAGGTAATTACTGCAGGAATCCAGAAAATGAAAAGGAGCCCTGGTGTTACACCACTGATCCAGGTACAAGATGGGAATATTGCCAAGTACAAAAGTGTGGCCATTTACCTCCAGGTGAGAAGTTCATGGTTCCTAGACAGTGATCTGCTTCATTTTATTGAACCCCATGTTAAGCCTTCACTAAACAGTTAGCTGCTTTGCCCATTTCTGTATATAATTATTACCAGAAATCTGTTCACCATGTTTCGAGACTCTTTTCTCCAAGTGGTACCCTGTTTCTGGTTTTCATGTTTTTGTTTGCGCAGACCGCTGACCTTTATTTTGCTATTAACACCTAATCTGGGCATGTGTTTTTATTTCTTTTGCACTACATTAACACTCTCTTTACCTTTTGTTCCATTATGTCTTCAGTATTTAATCATCCTTAACAATCATCGATCCTCACGTTTCTTCTACCTGACAATCTCAACTTTCTCAACAGCTTAAACACAAGCACATTTTTCCTTATTTAACCCCCTTAAGTTGTACCCCTTACTCCTAGACTTCCAAACAGGAGAAACATTTTATTTGATCCACCCTTGTCTATCCTTTAAAGTATTTTTTAGGTTTCAATGAGATACAGGTCCAGTTTGCCAAATCTGTCTTCATAGACAGCCCTGCCATTCCCAGGATCAAGTCTGGTGAACCTTTGTTGCACTCCCTCTCTGGCAATAATATCCTTACTGAGATATGGAGACCAAAACTGCGCACAGTCTAAGTGCTGTCTAAACAAGCTTCTATGCAATAGTTCAAGACCTCAATACTCCTGCACTCAAATCTGCTTTCATTATCTATCCTAATAGCTTGCTGCATGTGCAGATTAGTCTTCAATGATTTACTGACAGGAACACCTTTGTACATTTACACTTTCTAACTTAAAGACTTTTGAACAGGTGCATGAATAGGAAAATTTTAGAGGGATACGGGCTGAACGCAGACAAATGGGACTGGTTTAGTTTAGGAAACTTGGTTGGCACGGACAAGTTGGACTGAAGGGTCTATTTCCATGCTGTATGACCCTATGACCATTAAAGAAACCCACTGCACATCTAGTTCTCCTACCAAACTGGACAGTTTGCTGCATTGCTCTATAGTGTCCATGGATGTGCAGGGTAGGTAGATGAGCCATGCGAAATGCAAGGTTTCAGGGATTAAGTAGGGGGCTGAGTCTCTTTGGGATGCTCTTTGGAGGATCAGTGTAGACTCAACGGGCTGAATGGCCCATTTTGCACTGTAGGGTTTCAATGATTAAAGTACCATGACTGTTATCATGGCAGGCAAAGATGCTTCAAGCTTGGAGGAAGCAGTCAGGTGAACATGCACTAAGTGAGCAGGGTGCATGCGCCTGTGCACAAAGTGGTATGCAGCAGCCTCTTGTTACTAGTTGCCAATACACCCTGCAAGGCAAGTCAGTGCTTCCTAAGTTGTCTGCAGTGAATCAGAGAGTTACCATGATGTTTGTGAGAAGTTGGCGAGTGTCAGGTGTCAATGTCCATTGATGAGAGCTGTGGCACCTGGTGCTTCTGGATTGTCCCCTCATCATTGACAAAAATCATAAAATTCCAATGACATGCTCCTAAAATTAAGGTAGGCCCCACTGGACTTCTTATCTGATTCTGCCTTAAATCTCATAATTGTCCACATTGCTCAGACCCCTAACAGATTCTGCCCAATGTCAAATCTTATCATATTGTGATCAATTAATTGGTCCTTTTCCATTACAGAATACTAGATCTAAGATAGCTCAATTTGTTTACCCAGTCTCTATACAGATTGAAGTCACCCATGATTACTGTGTTGCCCATTTTACACACTCCTCTCATCTCTTGATTTATACCATGGCCCACACTATCATTATTGATTGGGGCCTGTAAATAACTCTTACCAAAAGCTTTGCTCCCAATTTGGGTTACCCCCCAAGTTTACATCACAAGCTAACAAGAACTGGTACATGCATGATGGGCTGAACTGCCTCCTTCTGCACTGTAACACTTCTGTGATTTTGTGATACATTCTGCTCACCTATGACCATGTCATTTTTTCAAAGTGTTCACTCTTTTTGATGTCTTTAGTGTCTGTGAGTCTCACATGTGTTCCTTGATGCTCCAGAAACTACAGATCAGTCATGTAGCTGAGCTCCAGGTGTCCCAGAAGACATTTTCATCTGTTCAAATACAGAATTATACAGTCTTACAGCATAGAAGGAGACCATTTATCATATGTGCTTGTGCCATCTCTTTGAAAGAGGTGTTCAAATAGTCCCACTTCTCCAGTCTCCCCTTGAGCTATAAAGCCCTGCATATTTTCTTTTCTTTTCATGTATACGTATCTACTTCAGTTTGCAAAGATACAGTTGAATCTGTTTCCACCATCCTTTCAGGTAGTGCATGCGAGGCTATTAAAAATCACTCAGAAAAAAAAAATTCTCCTCAAATCTCCCCTGGCCTTTTTGACAAGTATCTTACTGTCTAGGTCTCTGAACCTTTTTGCTTTCAGGAGAACCATTCCAGTTTCTCCAAGCTCTCCACAGATCTAAATTCCCTAATCCCCAGTACTGTTCTGGTGAATTTCCACTCCTTCATCTTCACAGATTTGACATCCTTTCAAAGTATGGTGCCCAGTATCAGGAACAACAAAAAGCCTGATTTTAATTCTGTGAATTTTGAGGGGAATTAAAATCACAGCCGAGCTTTCAGCTGAGGTCTAGGCAGTGACTTAATAGTTGGCTATCACTTCCTTTCCTTGTTCTGTATGCTTTAATTTATAAAGCCAATATTTCCATGTCTTCACAGCTTTATCAGATTAAGTTCTGGGTAAATACATTTAGACGCCAGAGATTGGTGAGAATGTAGTATTATAATGAATATAGTACCTTTCAACACCTCAGAAGATCACAAATTATTTTGCACCAAATTAGCACAGGAAACATGGCAGCCAATTTGATCAAAACAAGTTCCTATGAACAGTGATATAATATTGATTTGTTTTAATTAATGTTGGTGAGGCTGAGGGGTGACCTTATAGAGGTTTATAAAACCATGAGGGGCGTGGATAGTGTGAATAGCCAAGGTCTTTCTTCCAAGGTAGAGGAGTCCAAAACCAGAGGGCATAGGTTTAAGGTGAGAGAGGAAAGATTTAAAAGGGACTGAAGGGGCAACTTTCTCACACGGAGGATGGTGCATGTATGGAATGAACTGCCAGAAGAAATGGTAGAGACTGGTACAATCACAACATTTAAAAAGCATCTGGATGGGTACTTGAATAGGAAGGGTTTAGAGGGATATGGGCCAGATGCTGGCAAATGGGACTAGATTAATATAGGATATCTGGTTGGCAGGGACGAGTTGGTCAAAGGGTCTATTCCCATGCTGTACAACTCTATGATACTAAGACCCTATAAATATTAACCAGGACACAAGATAGAACTTCCATGTTTTCTCCCACCATTATTACTGAACTCATTACTAAACCACAGTCAAACTGGGTCATGTGGAACTTGAATCCAAAACCATCAGACTCAGACTGAGGCAAGCATGCTATCATTGAGCCAAGACTGACATCTTGAAATGATTCAATTTTTCCTGTTTAATCCAGGTTTTCAAGAGACTTCATGTCTATCTTATGGTTTTCAAACCTTCTGGACTCTGTAGCTAATGACTTTATTCCTCCTCCAAAGTACTCATCATGAAAATAATTGATGCAAGCCCCACTGAAAGTTTCTTCCTTTAGCCTACATCTGATATTCAGCTTGTTATTGGTGCTTTTAATAAATCTTCAAAATCGCAATATTACTGTTCTTCAATGCAATATTATTGCATAGTGGAAATTAAATAGGAGTATTGGTACATTACTGAAGATTGTGAATTTTACGTCAACATATTCCTTAAAATTTTCTGTACTATTTACTTTCAGGGCCATTGAGTGAAAATGCACCTACTGATTGTTTTAGTGGAAATGGTTATAATTATCGAGGGACAACATCTGTGACAGTGTCGGGAAGAAGATGCCAGGAATGGGATTCCATGACACCACATAGCCATGAGAAAACATCAAGCAATTTTCCAAATGCGTATGTACAATAGTTTGATTTTGTATCCAGCTGATCTTAGACTCCTTCATGACCTACATTCCCTCTAACTTTTCCTGTCACTCTGTGACAGTGATTTCTGGAACTGCATGTGACTACATGCCGATTCGTATGTCACACAGCTTAGAGGAAACATCATTTATGACCTCAGCATACCTTAAAGGGGCTCGCAGACAACGAAGTGCTTTTGAAGTATAGCCACTGCCTTCATGTAAAAAAGCAGTAGATTTCTGTCAGTGATGACACACAATAAGATAATGATGAAAAAATCTGCATTAATGATGGTGGTTGAAGATAAATATTGGGGAAATTGCCTTTGTTTTTCTTCAGAATAGTGGCATGGGATATTTTAGATCTGCCTGTGAGGGAGAAGAGGCCTATTTTTGTGTCACTTCCAAAAATTGTATCTCTTACCAGTGTTTACTCAATTTTGCAGTGGAGGGTTCATCCAAATTATATTCTCAAATCTCTGAAGTGGGATTTGAACTCACAATTTGCTAAGTTAGAGATATGAACATGGCAAATGTACATACTTATCTTTAATGGTACTTAATCATTAATGAACCAATATCAATAAAACAGGTGCTGCATATTAATGGGTATCTCCAATGTACTCCTCGAACTTAGCACATGGGAAAGTTGTGCTGAGACTTTTTTAATATAATTGTACCAAAGACTGCATAGTAACACTCCATCACCATGAATATGATATTGAGTGTACCAAGTAATTCTATTGTCTATTTTCTCAATAACTGTCTTTTTGTTTTCTCTTACTTTCTGCCTTGTATATTCTTCAATCCTCATTTTCTCCCAACTTGTGTTTTTGTTACTACCTTCATTTTCCCCACTTTTTCCCCTAACTCTTGGGTGTCCCCTATTCTGGTGTCCTTTCCCCCGTCTTATTTTTATTTAACTCTTCAAAACAGTAGGAATAAACATTACTGTACTATTCTATAGGTTAATAGTATTTGATTCAACCAAGCAACTGGTCACTGGGCCTCTCGATATTTACTTTCTTTTTATCTAGAAATGCTCTTACACATAATTGAATGCCTCTTGATATTTATGGCAATCCCATTGATATGGGATCCTCATTGATGTTCATTTACTGATTGCCTACATCTTGTACTTGTTAACAGATTTTAGATTTATTCTGCAATTCTGCACCATCAATTGAACTCTCATTGTGTAACTGGCAATGGTCATTGTCCTTTTTATCCCCATTGAGACATTTTTCCTTGACTATAATTACAGAAATTATTTATCACTGATTGGTTACTCTCAAACCAGTTTCTTGCTAATAACGTAACAATTCCCTAAAAGGCTTGTTCATTGTGGTTTTGAGATTAATCATTATGTCACTGTTAACAAACAGGGAAGGAAACCATGACAGTATTCTCCACCATAAGGTAATGGATGCATGGAAACAGCATCATCTCTAAGTGAAATATCATTATAATTTGGACATACATTACCCTTCTTTCATCTCCCAAACTTCGCACAATAGACCCATCCAACAAGGACGCATATTGATGACCTTCCATTTAAGTCCTGGAATGGGCAATAGATGGTTGGCTAGCAACCATGCCAGCCTTTATTTTGATGATAACAGCTCCTTGAGACTTGGTCACGTGACTTCCACTATCTTGAGCTCAATTGTCTTTTTAACTATAGAAGTTTGAAATACAGAGAGTTAAGAGGTCAACAGCCCTCCATCTACTGAGAAAGTGAACACCACTAACTCCAGACCACAAAGGAAAAGCCTTTGGCCTGTAAAAAGCAAAAAGCAGCTAACAACCTACATTTTTGCTTTCTGAAATAAAAGCCGCCTTTCGTCAAAACAGTGAAACAAACTTTAATAATATCGGGCACCCCCGATCTGAATGTCAGATGTTAAAAGGGAAGCAGTTGGCAATCATTATATCCCAGATAGATTTGTCAGCAGGGGGGTGCAGCAGAATCCACGGGGTCTTTGGCTGCCAAATCTATCCAGCCAGCAGAGTTTGTCCCCTATGCAACCTATCCAGGTAGAATCCCTGAAAGTGGTAGGAGTTTTGTTCTCAGAGAAATGGTTCCCACTTATCCCTCCCCAGAGGGAAGTAAGTTTATTGCCTTATTTAGAGACACTGGGATTACCTGAACCCTAATGCCAGGGAGGATTCTTTCCAAATCTACTTTGAACGTCTAAATCCAAATCAGAGGAACGAGTGGAGAATGCATATCTGTTCCCCTCTATAGGCCTACAGTGCATTTGGTGTCAGACCCAGTGTCTGTATGAATGGTGTCTGAGCTACTGGTAGCAGTGATAGATTTCCTACTTGTGTATAACCTGGCAGGTAATCAAGTCATAGTAACTCAGGAGGCACCACAAAGGAGACTTTGTAGCCACAGTAACTTGAGGGAGCTCTAGTTAGAACCTGCTAAAATAAATAGGTACAAGAGAGGATGCCGAAAAATAAACTAAGCAAAAAGGGATGCATCAAACAAAAGGGGCTCTAACTGGCTCACAGAAAACAAAGGTGCGGAGAGCTGGAAAAGATTACCTTGAAGGGACAGTAGAATCAAAATTGTTGGGATAGTCCAGGTAAAACCATCTTAAATTTAAAGGGCTTAACTCAGATGAAAAAGTTTTAAAGATCAAAAGGCAGCCAGCATACTAGAGCAGATGTAATGGAGAAAGATGCAGCCAAAAATGTGATCAGTAGAGTCCATTGCTCCAGAATTAAGTCAGGACCAAGAAAGTACCCAAACCAGATTGATAAATATGGATGAAAAGTAGGCCACATCCTCATTGGCTAAGCAAGATGTCAGGTGACCTAGAACCTTCTTCCAAATAGGAACAACATGCAAGTGAGGGAGATACCTCATGTGGTTAAAAAGCCACAGTATTGTACAACAAGGGCCAGACATCCACCTGAGGGTAGAAATGTCCTAACTGATATTGCAGCAGGATTTAACAGATTCCTAACAAATGCCACAGAACAAAGGAGTAAACTCTGAAGAGTTTGACTACCGTATCAATTACTGCCAGTAGAATTTGAGTATAACTACCTAAACACAGACCCTTGCGAGAGGCTGATCTGCAACCCATGTTAGCCTGAGCCATTCATTTTGGTTTCTAAGGAATCCACAGATCTCCACAGAGTCCCGAAATGAATACCACCCTGTCGTGATTGTAATGACGTCAGCCAGCTGGACATCATAGAGTATGAGTTCCCTGATTAGGGCTATTAATCAGGTTCAGTCAGGAAAACCTGGCTGACATAAAATGGTGAATGTCAGGGATACTGTCTCTCAAGTGCCTGACTCAGTCAAAAGCTATAGTCAAAGGCTATGCATTTATAAATAAAGGGTGATTGGCATTGGGATACCAGCCTCTGAAGAATTATTTCAGTGGCAATGAAAGTAAAGCACAATCCTGAAGAAACTCACTCATAATAGTCATTTTTTTGGTTGGGGGTAAGTTTTTTCTTACACCATGCCTATGTTTGGGAAGCTTGACTCATTTGACCCTGCTATTGAGAACTGGTCCAGAATGTGGAAAGAATGCATTATTCTTTTTGGGCAAACAACATTGCAGTAGATGAAAAACAAAGAGTAATCCTCCTAATAGCCTGTGGTGCTGCAGCTTTTTCTGTCATTCGGAACCCAACTTTCCCTGAGGCACTAGATACTAAAACCTTTCAAGAGTTGACAGATTTAGTTAAGGAATATTACAACGCCAATTTTCTTCCAATTCTGAGAGGCCATTGTTTTTACTCGGCAATTTGAGAGCCAAGGGGAAGCTATACCGGGTTTTTGACTAGGCAGAAGGCTGTGAATTTAGTTTAACCCTTAATGAAGTCCTTGGAGACCATCTGGTATGCGGGATTAGTGATGTAACTATGCAAAAATGTCTACTAGCTGAAACTCAACTGGACTTCAAACAGGCACTACAACTGGCTTTATCATTGAAAAATGCAGCAAGTGGAGCATGTGAGTTTCGAGGTATTCAGATGGAAGTGGATACCCTTGCCAGCCTGGATGAGCTTGGGAACACCACTTGTGTGCAAGCAACTACATAACCTCACTCAGGAAATATACTGCTCAAAGGGACTGTAAGTTGGCCAACAGCAAAACCGTGAAACAAAGCCAAGTCTCAGCCAAACAGTTACAGTTTTCTTCAGGATCCTGCCCAGTAAGACATTGTAATTGTTTTCGATTTATGGACTTGAGACAGCAAAAGATGCCTCCTAGGCCCAAATTGAGTAGGATAACTAATAGGCCAGTATTCAGGATGGAATTCAGGAGGGTATCCAGGAGAGTGCACAGCCTGGAAATTCTACCCTCATCTGGTTTGTAACAGTTAAATTGCTAAGCAACACCCAAATCAGAACCAATCAAACTAAATGTCTGGGGCTAAATTGTCACCTAATTCTAATGGAGGCTGATACTGGTGTGGCCATATCAATGATGAAGAACCAGTCTTTAACAAAATTCATTCTGGATTCTAACCCTTAAGTTTGTGCAAGACCTCAGCTGGACTGAGAACCTATACTGGGGAATCTTTACAGATTAAGGGTGCAACCTCTGTCTGGTTTCATATGAAAGGCAATTGATTCAGTTACCAATGATTGTAGTAAAAGGCTCAGATCGAAGATTGATGGGGCAAAGTTGGTTGGGAGAGATTCACTAAGATTGGCTCAACACTTTTAATTTAGAAAATAACTGTCTGAGTGAAGTCCTAATTAAATACCTCAAAGTCTTCCGGGAAGGTCTAGGGACTATCAGAGAAGCCAAAGCTGCTTTGCATGTTGACCAGGAAGCAATTCCTCAATTCTGCAAGACCTACCTGGTGTCATTTGCCTTACAGTCAAAAGTAGAGGCAGAAATCGGAAAGCTGAGAGGTGAAGGAATCACCAAACCAGTCCAATTCGTGGAATGGGTAGCACCAGTCACACGATTTTCGAAGCCCGATCGGTCCGTTTGCATTTCTGGGGATC